CCCTCGGCGGGAGCGCCGCCATGCTCGCAAGCGGCGCACTCTCCAGTGCGCCACCGGGCCAGCCCTAAATTTACCACTTTACAGACAAAATCTCTCAGATTGGATTTAAAAAATTCAGGTGTATTCTGTTTATGAGTGATACACCTAAAATACAATTTCACAGAAGGGTTGAAAGTAGAGGAATAGGAAAAAATATAGCGGGAAAATACCAACAAAAGATAGCTGATTAATGTTATAAAGTTGATATCAGACAAAATAATCTTTGTCATAATCTAATTAGTGATGACAGTAATGTTACTTAATGCCCTTTAAAGATTTTTTTTTTAAGATTAGGAAACAAAAAGAAGCCAGGAGGAGCCAAATCAGGACTGTAAGGTGGATGCCTAATGTTTTCTCATTGAAACTCTTACAAAATTTCCCTTGTTTGATGAGAGGAATGAGCAGGATCATTGTTGTGGTAGAGAAGGACTCTCTGGTGAAACTTTCCTGGGAATTTTTCTGCTAAAGCTTTGGCTAACTTTCTCAAAACACTCTCATAATAAGCAGATATTATCATTCCTTAATCTTCCAGAAAGTTGACAAGTGAAATGTCTTGAGCATTACATAAAACTGCCACCATGACCTTTTCTCTTGACCAGACCACCTTTGCTTTGATTAGACCACTTCCATCTATTAGTAGCCATGGCTTTGATTGTACTTTGTCTTCAGGATAATACTGGTAAAGCCATGTTTCATCTCCCGTTCTGGTTCTTTGAAGAAATGCTTCAGGATCTTGATCCCACTTGTTTAAAGTTTCAATGAAAAACTCTGCTCTTGTTTGCAGCTGATCCGGCTGTAACAGTTTTGGCACCCATGAGCAGAAAGTTTGCTCAACTTTAATTTTTTAGTCAGAATGTGTAAGCTGAACCAGTTGAGATGTCTGTGGTGTTGGCAGTTGTTTCTGCTGTTAATTTTTGTTCCTCTTCAATTAGGATATGAACAAGATTAATTTTTTCCTGGCAAACTGATGTGGATAGTCTGCCACTGACAGCTTCATCTTTAACATTGTCTCATCCCTTTCTAAAAAGAGTTATCAATTTGTAAACTGCTGATTTTTTTTTTGGTGCATAGTCCCCATAAACTTTTGGTAAAGCATCAGTGATTTCACCATTCTTTACCCAAGTTTCACCATAAATTTGATGTTTGTTCTTGCTTCATGTTTCTCTGATAGGAGCTCTTTTCAAACTGATGTCTTACCCTTCTTAGTGCCTCAGACTAAATCCTGTCCAGACATGTAACAAGTTAATATGAGTTTATTTTGGTGCAAAAAATTTTTGCAATTCGTACATGGGTTTTTCAAAATATGCATTTTCCATGAACTTTTTGAAGACTCCTGTCTACAATCGTAGTGGGAGATTCAAACATTAATAAGAAGACAATTAGTAAAGAGCGTAGACTTGAACAGTACAAATGGACAAGATTGATCTATTGAATATAACAAAGGCACAGTGTACAAGATTAGATTCACGATGATGGGAAAATCAACTTGTCTGGAATAGAGTTGTTAAAGAAGATCAGAACTTTGATTTAAAACTGATATGTGAGTAATGCCAAAGTGCAGCTATGCAGCGAAGTTAAGACATGGCTAGGTAAGGGGTTCAGAAGCCCATTTGAGAGTTTTAGCCTTTCACAGCTGTGGTTAAAGTACATTGGGAGACTAAATGACAGCTTTCTGGTTTTTATAGGATTATATGCATTGGTTCTTTTTGGAACTAAATCTTTAAATCTTTTAATTGTTGTGCTTTTTCTTTTGTAAACATAGTAAAAAGAAAATGCTGCTAAAATTATATGGAGGTCAAAGCAAGACTTTTCTTATTTGTGTCAACAACTGCTTCAGTATGTGCACTAATTGATAATGCTTATTAACATTTTTAGTGGTTTATCTCGAAAACCTTTAGAAGAGAGACAAAATAGGGGTAGGGGATTCCTTATTTCCTTTCTATTTCTCTTTCTCACTTATGACACAAACAGTGTGTAAAAGGTTAGGACAGAGATGGTAGGTGAAACAGATAGCTTAGAAATTTGGAAATGTGAATGTAGTTTTGCAGTGTCCTTCCTAGAGTCTAATAAATTTTACTGGCCTTGAATGGAGGCCTTCAATTTTCAGACCAGGTGGTTTGATACTAGATGAGTGGCAACCTCAGGCTGGTTTTTATGTTCTGAGTGAGAATACACTTTTTTGTTTGTTGTATTCTCATGTTAATTCATGTCTGTGGAATATTGGTAGCCTTCTAGATCAAACAATAATAGGCAAAGGAATAATAGGCAAAGGAAATCTGCTATTAATGTCTTGAACATGAATGTTATTGTGGAATATAGATAGACAAATTAGCATGATTCATTTTGGGTGATTTGCATAGCAGTATTTGACCTATGTTTCAACATTGAATTAAAATGTTTCTAGCCTTTGAAAAAATTTTTTGTTGTTGGTTGGACTGAGTCTAGTAGTTGTTCACTTATTCATTCAGAATCTGAATTTAGTTTTTTCAGGAAATCAGTTTGAGACAATGCTAAGGAACATTACAAGAGATTGTTTTATATATTAGAATACTAGTTATATTTTTACAATTTGGAATATATCAGAATTGTCCAATTTACTTAATCAAAGTTTAACCATTCTGTAGATGCCCATGATTTCCTCTCCTTTTTTCTCTCATATTTGGCATCATCACCATCTTCCTTTTGTGTCTTCTGTTTCCTTTTTTGCTTTCAGCCTTTTACTTTCTATTTGCTCTTGGTTCTAAGCTTGCAAACATACGAAAATCTTCCTGTAACTCCGTTTTCTCTCCAAACTACTGTCCAACCTCCTCTTTTTCTTTATTGCCATATGTCTCAGAAGCAGTATCTACATTTGCCACCACTACTTTGTCACCACAAGTTTTCTCCTTAAATCTTTGTTGTCAGCATCTGCCCTTATTATTTTCACGGAAATTCTTCTCACAGACATTCCCAGTAATCCAAATATACAGATCCAAAGGCCCTTTCTC